ATGACGGATTAAATCGAAATTGGCAGCATGGATAGAAGATGTGTGTGGGATGATGCCACAAAAACAATTTCTGGCAACTCCATTGTTTTTTCAAACTACACACCGAGTCTCGTTTTTTTTGCGTCGCACCTCATATATTAGAAAAAATATACTAATTATTACTTTAAATAGTTATGGAGGAAGATTATGAATTAAAATGAGTCATACAATAAGTATTCATTAAGTAATTGTTATCCAAATTATATAATGTTTGATGTAAGGTGAAATGGGGTAAGTGCAGACTGGTTTTTATAAAGTTGGTATTTAAACGTAAGTATTTTCAGTCTGCTATGTAAATACTTAACGCTGTCGATATCGAACGCTTTGCACAATTACTACTATTTAATTAATATTAACTAGGACCTTAATTTTCCTTGTACATTTTGATTTTGATAGGAAATTGTTTAAAATGTCAACTACTCTGCACTTTCCCCGAAAATGGGGTAAGAGCGTAACTTGAAGTTAAATACTTTGAAACTTTATTTCATGTGCAATGCGGCAAGAGCAGAATTGTTAACAAATCTGCTATAAAATGCTTTTTACTGCATTATGCAAGTACTCTATACTGCAAACAAGTACTTTTAGCTGAAATATAAAAGGGGATATAGTGAAACAAAACAAGAAAACAAACATACTAAATGGAGAAATTTCGCTCATATTGTAATAAAAATAGCCTGTATACGCACTTGCCCCATTTATAAACTTACCCCACTTCACTTTGTGTAAAGAAAAAATATATTGATTAATTATTGTATGATGTAACATTTGATTAAGTTTATTTGTTCGATTTAGATTCGTTAATTTAAAAAAGATTGATTACTAAATATGATAATCACGGTTTTTAATTACTATGAGTAGTATTAGCAGTGTTAAAAACGTACTGTAAACTGCTGTAGTTTTGTTTTAGTTATTCATAAATCAAAATCTGTTCATTATTACCTAAGTTCTATTTAACAAGTTATTTTAAATTAAATTCTATAACGTAAAATGAGAAACCTGTCAAATTATTATAATTAATCGTAATATAATAATTTAATCGGTTCAGAAGTTTTAATATTAAGCTTAGATGTTTTCATAACAGTAAAGAACACACAAAAATTTGATGAAATACTTTGTTTCACAGATTGCACGGCGGTGACAATGTACAGATCAAAAGGTACTTTGTGTCCTTCTGGAACGGGGTAGATTTAAGGTACAAGCTGTTGAAGGGTCCAAAAATTCGCATCAGCATCGCTGGAATAATTATCTCACGGGTGAAGTACACTTGACGAGCACTTTTCTTGTACTTCCTTCTCCAAAGAAAAATGTCTCGATATAAGCAAATCTTTCGGGTCCAAACTTTCGCTTGTATCGTATAGTTTCTACATTGATTGAAATTTGCCGGAAAACGAGAGAGAAAAATGTTCAACCGAATGTAAGCAAATAGTAACGTATCAACGGGAGAATAAAACACAATTCTAATGCAAGAATAAAACATTGTTATTTTTTATTTTATTCTTGTGAAACTTTTATCGACATATTTCTGATATTCTCTTGATGAGATCATAACGTAATTAGAAACATGTTTATTTGTACTTCCTTGTCTTCTCCCCAGATCGCTTATATCGTATAGATCGTTTTTGCCTATAGCGTATAGTTTAAATCGTTTTCGCTTATATCGCGACTTTACAGTACCAAGCTAACGTTTACTTAACGTATCGCGTAACCTTTGTTTTTGTCCGATTCCTTTCAGGGAAGAGACGCGACACCATACCTGGAAAGAAATCGCGTTGGAAGGGACGCGATCGATTCAGCAGCCGCACTGACAGATATGGGCAAATACCTCTTCCGGGAGAGAAGACTTCCGGTCTACGACATTGCGGTTGCCGTTACAAAGTAAGAGTGTTCAATTCGTTTAATATAACGTAGAAATAAGACCATGACGTGCAGAATTTGCATGAAATTCTCCATTGCCTTTCGATCTCGCGGAAATTTATTCGAGCAAACCAGTTTTAGACGTTTTAATGAAACGATGAGACAGCAATAATTAACACGAAATTGTGTACACATTAACCCTCTATGCGATCGTATAATTTTTCGATAAGCCGTCTAATCAGTTTAATGTTCAAATAAAATTTTAATAACTTCTAAACTTGCTCCCACATCTTTTTTTATTTCTTGTGTTGATATATGTATTAACAAGTAAATTATTTTTAATTAAGAGACGTGAATTTGAAATAAAATTTCAAATTTTGAAATAATATTTGGAATAAATTGTTATTTAGAATAATTAATTGTTTCGATTAATTTTTTTGTTTTTAATTATTAATACTTTTGATCTGTGATCTTTTATTGGTTTAGGGATGATGTGGAAATAGTAATATTACTTTTTGTGGAATTTAAGTAAATTGTAGTGAATCGTTTTGTATTTTAGATAATTATTATTATAAAATAATAAAACAAGTATTGTCTTAATCATTCGTTATGATTTAAAAATATCTATAAAAGTATCTATCATCTATTTTCGCTGTAGAGGGTTGAAAGCACAGATTTCGTTCCCGTATAAAGCAAAAATAAAATAAATAGGTTCTACGGTCCCCAATATTAAGCTAATATCCGCCACAGCAGTCTGGTGATTTCATACTGTTTGATTTTTATTTCACAAAACAGGTATGATATGTGCCGTCGTAGGAAAGGCGGCCGCTGCACTAAGGGAACTGCCGGTATGGTTTATTACATAGCGATCACGCTTTATTTTATCAACTTGTATTGTCTTTTATTCTCTCTGTCTCTCTTTCTTAATGTACTTTGCCTTTTTTAAGTATTTACACGTAGCTTATTCGTAGTGTCGGATTTAAGGTGCAGTGACGGCGTTATATCGAGGGGTAATGGTTGCGTCCATGGGTGTGAACAGTTCTTTCTCGTAGAAGATCTATTTACTGAATATTTATTAATTGACTAACACGGTAGAGAGTGTACAACAATTAAAAATGAGAATTACGTAATATGTTCTAAAAGCAGTGGGACAACGGCGATGTTCGTTAAAATTTCTTTAAGTTACATTTTTAAAGAAGTGATCTTGTAACATAAATAAATTTCAGGAACGATATATTACAAATGTAATTATTTTGGAAAGGGAGTGAGGCTTATGATGATTTTTAATTGGGGGATATAATAGGAAATTACGGAAATAAAATGTGAAAATAAAACTCTGCTATAATTTTCTTTGTTACGTTTTCTTTACTGTAATTTTTTTATAATATTTACTGTACTATATTCGCTTTGTTATAATCATTATTATATTTTTTATCGCTTTTAATTTATTATAATTCCTTTATTAAGTCCTTTATTGCAATTGTTTTTTTATGATTTCTTTTATTACATGTTCTTTAATTCACTCTTTGTTGTATTTTATTTATTATAATTTTCTTTATTAGAATTCTCTTTATTGCAATTGTTTTTTTATGATTTCTTTTATTACATGTTCTTTAATTCACTCTTTGTTATATTTTATTTATTATAATTTGCTTTATTAGGATCCTCCTTATTGCAATTGTTTTTTTATGATTTCTTTTATTACATGTTCCTTAATTCACTCTTTGTTATATTTTATTTATTAATATTTTCTTTATCACATTTGCTTTATTATAATTGTTTTTCTTACTTTTTTCAAACAATCTTGTGTCTTACATTTTTTATTATATTTGAGGGGTCAGTCACACCCATGGCAGCCAACGTACAGTAGACTCTCGTTATATTGCCACGGAGGGGGATAAAAGCGGAAAATTATGGGATTTGCGTGATATGTGCAATGGTGATGGAACGCCATTAGTATGCATGGAAATCAGTGAAAAGTGGGGTTTGTCCAGCTAGCAATATACAATATGGTAATATAACAAGAGTCTAGTGTATTAACGAAGTCAACAAATCATAGTATTTCACTTGTATTTAATCAGAATCACAAATTTGGATTATAAAGCAAAAATCCCACTGCTTTTAGGACAAATCACGTGTACTCTTTTGACTTCTTTCGTGTGTTGCAGTGCAAGTATTGTATTAATTAATATTTCACTTGCAATTAGTTGTTCCATTACACACCAATTTAGTCAAAAAAGAAGTTATTGAGAAGAGGAACTATTTTGAAGACTTCAAAGTGATAGATAATATTAAGAATGGTTTTTTCAACTATAGGAGATATAAAAACATAAAAATGTAAAAATGTAGAAATAGAAAAGTAGTAAAAACAGAAACTAGAAAAATAGAAAAATAGAAAATTAGAAAAATGGAAAAATAGAAAAATATGAAAATGTAAAGACAGAAAATCAGAAGAAAAAAATATAAATATTATTTATCAATCAAATGTTTATATGCAATTTCTAATATGAACATATTTAAAAAAGACAAAGTAAAATGGCACAACAACACAAGAAGTAAAATGACGCAGTACACCACAATGGCCTTTAATGCATATTTGTATAAAATATGTCGTAAAAATTACTTTTAACATTTGAAACAATAAGTGTTTAAATTTTGAATATCGTTATTTAATTTCGTAACCAGAAGCTGGCAAGTTTTGTAGCAATCGTGATATTTATTACTTTACTCATACTTTTATCCTAAATTTTACAATAAGAAATTAATTTTTTAGTTTTATTTGACATGTCTACTATCTTTAAACCATACTTCAATTTATTTGCCATTTTGAAGTCTCCAAAGAGATATTTCCTCTTAAAATACTACACATATCATATTTCACAATGAAATGGTGTCAAAAGTTGAACATAAACAGGTAAAGGTACACTAATTTACGTTCAGTAACATATGAACTACTTTTCAATTTTGTCGTTGAAGGACAATTTCAAAAAACATAATTTTAAAACGTCAGTAGTATAACGATCTAAAATATCGAAATATTAACAATCGATTTTTCGACCCAACTGCACACGTAAATACATATAAAGTAATCTTTTGCTTAAAAACAAATGTAGGACGGAGAAACATCCGCAATTTGCACTCAAGTTTTCAAATTTTTAAATACACGAATATCCAAGCTTTCCAAATCCTGCAATTTTTAATTTCCACATTGCCAAATTCTTGAATTTTTTCGAGCTATAAAATCCTTACATTTCTGTATATCTTCACATATTTTTATTTGCTAAAATCTTCAAATTTTGTGAGTCTTTAGATTGTCAAAATACTAAATTCTAAGTCTCTAGATTGTGAAACTTTCAAATTCTCTAATTTGTGAATTTCTTAACTCTCATATTATCAATTCTTCAAATAACCAAATTCCCAAATTCTCACTTTTTTCAGTTCTCCAAATATCTAAATTTTCATATTTTCCATTCTCCAAATATTCAAATTCTCAATCTCTCAAATTCTCAAATTCTCAATCTCTCAAATTCTCAATCTCTCAAATTCTCCATCTCTCAAATTTTCAATCTCTCAAATTCTCCATCTCTCACATTCTCAATCTCTCAAATTCTCCATCTCTCAAATTCTCCATCTCTCAAATTCTCCATCTCTCAAATTCTCAATCTCTCAAATTTTCAATCTCTCAAATTTTCTATCTTTCAAATTCTCAATCTCTCAAATTCTCCATCTCTCAAATTCTCAATCTCTCAAATTCTCCATCTCTCAAATTCTCAATCTCTCAAATTCTCCATCTCTCAAATTCCCAATCTCTCAAATTCTCAAATTTTCATACTTTTAATTCTTCAAATGTACAAATTCTCATATTTTCAATTCTCCGCATATTCTAACTCTCAAATTTCTATACTTTCAATTCTTCAAATATCCAAATTCCCAAATTCTCACTTTTCTCAGTTCTCCACATATTCAAATCCCTATATTCTCAAAGTTTGTGTCTTCTAAATTAAAAAATTCCCGAACTCTCATATCTTTACTTCCAAATTTCAAAGATTCCAAATTTTCAAATTCTCAAATTTCTAAAAATCTAAATTTGAAAGTTTATAAATTTACCAATTCAAAATCAGTAGTTCTTTTCCCTCATATCACCATCTGTTCTACAAACGCCTTCAGTGCTCACCACTGCACACTTTGTTCGTCCTACCACTTCCTCCAACTATCAAATTACACAAACATCCTATAAACGCGGACATATAAATGCCTTAACACGCGTAATTTTTTTCTTCGACAGCCTTGTCCAGACGATTTCAAAAATTGCATTACTACGAAGCGAATCGACAATCGACTGTAATTACTTGTGCTCGAGACGCAACACTCGCTAATTAGCAATTATTTACACGCGTGCTACTCATAGTGTGTTTGCTTTATCGTAATTCCACACCAGCACCTCGTACATGTCATGTTTCTCGGAGCTAAACAACGAGAAGACATTCGACACAATATTTGCTTGTTATCAGACCACCTTCGAAATCGATAATATTAACGTTTTAAATAGTTACGATGTTTTGCAGACACCTCGAAGACATGCATTCTTATATGGTGTTAATGCACAATATTTGTTATAAATTTTATTATATAATATCTGTAGGCTATAGCATTATTTTGTGGGATCGATTTTACACATTAAAGTAATACATTGCAGTTTATGTGACATTTATTTCTAGTTTTTATTATAGTGATTTGTATTTCATAGAATGGCCAGAAGATGGCCGATTGTGGTTCACAAAATGGCGGATGTAAACGGAGACATTTATAGAAAAGCAAGAACTTTTAAAAATTTGTTTTAAAAGAAAAAGTAAATGCTCTGTTGTATACTATTTAATTTTTTATGCATATCTTACATAATTATATGTATAGAATTATTTTATATTATTGTTCCGTGTTTAGGTTAGAATTCGAACGATTTTGAGTGATACACGCTAAAACTTTCAAATATATTTATCAACTTAATGTTTTGAAATATTTGTAACTACAAATTTATTTTGTCATTAATATCTATTAAAAGTAAAAGTGCTGATCTATAAAATTATGCATAAGTTATGGAGCATCATAAATAATTACAAAATATACAAACTAAAAGTTTATAAATTTACAAAAAGAATATTTAAATTTCTTATCTCCTCAATTATTAAATGTCCTAGTATACAAATTTCTAAATTGAAAAACTTTCAAATTTATAAGAATTTAACATTTAAAATAATACAAAATTTTGAATTTTTTAAGTGTTAGAATTTTTAACTTTGATAATAGTGAACATTCTAAATATAAAAAACAATTTTTAAATTTTCATATTTCTATCATGCTAAATTTGAAAATTCATACTTTTAAAATTTATAAATCAAAAGATAATATATTCTCAAATCCTCAAATTTAAATTTTCATTTAAAAAAAAAATAAGGTACAAAGTGGTTGTTCTTCTATCGATGTCAAATTAAAAACTAAAGCAATATACAACATACAAATATATGAACATTAGTTTAATGTACAATAATCGATTCCGTATATGTAAACTCCAATTTCTATCCGCATTTTAAATAATAACAAAGGACTTAGACACATACGAGCGGCACATTTCCAAGGATTGTCCCGTGACGTGGTACAAACCAATCCAAATAATGAATCCACATGATAAAGAGGACCTTTTATTATTGCATTGCAGATTAGATATGTGCAGGAGGCAATACGCGAATGACGTGTGCAATAGAGGAACAGCAGGTACGTTTCTCGAGTTTAAACGAAAGAGAACACGAGATTGACCAACAAAAGAATTCAACTCTTATATGTGTGCACTTGCTCTGCGAACGTTTGTTCTTATTTTTCTCCATTCTCAAACTTCTTTCGCTGCAACTCCGCGCGGGAAATTTAAAATATCGGAAAGAGATTCTCGAGGCTTTTATCGCCTGAATTCTAATATCGTTTATACCGTTCCAGATTTTAGAATGTAAGTCGTGTTCTTTCATCGATACTGCATTGAAGTGATCGATCTGTTTAATGAAGATTTTGTACGAATGCTAGATATTCAAATTAATATTGAAATTCGATCTTTTCTAAAGGAACGGAGAAAATATTTTGAAGACTTGATTAATTAAATATTCGAGCAGTGTTGCAAGTTGTAAAGTTCGATTTATTCGAATATTTCGAATGATTACAAATACTTCAGTATTTACTTTTTCACTTTTACTTTTACTATTTTACTTTTTGAGTAAATACTTGTATTGTTCGAAAAATAAATTCGAAAGTAATTCAAATGATTAAATGTAAGCTTGAAGATAGAAATCGATTTATTCGAATACTTCGAGCAGCTGTAAATACTTTCACGTAACTATGTAATGTTTCAAAAACTCGAAGTAATAAAATAACTAAATAACAAAAATCCCTGTAAACGAAATTAATTTAATTAACAATTCGATCTATTCGAATACTTCGAACGATTGTAAATAGAGTCCCTGAATTGACTTAATGTTTAAAAAACTCGAAATAACAATGAAGTAATTTGAATAATCAAGTATTTTGTGAACAGAGCTAAAATTAATTTAATTAACCATGACACACTATAAATATTTTCTAGTAATCTTGAGGTAAATATTTTCTAGTTATCTCCCAATTTCGAGTAATTTGTCACAAGAGAACACAGCTTACACCTAAAACCCAGAAACAGTATAGAAATCTCGCGTCCGTTGCTTCGACCTTTGTTTATTCTTCTCTAGCAGCTTAAAAGGATTCTTCACTCTGTGTTTGAGACTCACTGGTCACAAGAGACGGGCTGAACGAAAACCGAACGAAGCTTCCATTTCTATTCGGCTTATCACGCGTGTTTTCTTCTTTCTGGATCTCACTTTTTGTTTGGGGCACGAATTTGCCTTTCTCTCCCTATCTCTTTCTCTCTGCATCTCTTTTTTTTCATTCTGATTATGTCAAAAACGACGATTTTGAAAAAAGGAAAAGAGAGTGAAGCTGACACTTTTCCCCTACAAATTTTCTCTGCTCGTTCCTTTGCACTGTGGCTACGGTATCCTAGTGTGTGTTCACCTTTGATCGTTTGTGAATTTGTTTATACACGCGTGTACGCATACACTGTTCCGATTCGAAAATATATATGATCTCTCGATCACTTCCATGCTCACTTTTGCTCTGTTCTGAAACACTCATGCCTTTCTTTTTGTTTCTTTGGCTGCGTTACTGTCGAGGATCGTGGTCGGTAAGTTTTTGAACCGAGACGACTATGGAATACCGAGAAACGGTGTTGTTTCTTCGTATTGAAATCATTCAATAGACATATTTTTACATTGTGGTACATAATTTGTTTAACCGTTTCTGAACGCCTTAATTAATCGATTGGTAATTTAACGCCAAATGTAACACGTTAACACGTTGAATGCTAACGTTTGTAGTCTGATCAGAAAAATATACTCGCAAGAAAAGATTGGTAGCCTTTATCAATTTTGATGAAACTGCAATTGGGTTTATTTTTTAAATTATTTATGAACATCGAATAAACTTTGTGACTAAAGCTCAACTATTTTAGCGAATAATTTTTTATTCGAATAATATTCGCGGATGAAATTTATTATTATTAGTAAATAGAATTATATTACCCGTTTCTAAATAAAACCTTGCAGGTTTACAGAATGATTCAAGACAAGAATAATCTTCACTTTTGTACGTTCATATGTGCACATATTCATTTGTGTGTCTTATTAGGCTGCGGTCTTATTCCAAGAGTGCGAAATCTAACCTCAAAATCAGTTAGATGCTCTCACTTTTTTACACATACCACTTCAAATACAAAATATGCAGAAAAATATTTCCAATTAAAAATTAATTGTACAATTAGCTAAAAACTTGTATTAACAAAACTTTCTCTTATAAAGAAATTGATTTTCAAATTTTTTTTAATTTTTAGTGACCCAATTTTGTACTCTTACACGTGTAGATTTATTTTAAGTATTTTTTCTCTATCATGCTTCAAAAATAATTTAAGTGGCCATTTAATTTTGAGGTTATGTACCCTTGAAGGTTGATTAAGGACAAACATGCTGTAATTCTCGTCTTGAATCACTTCATGAATTCATAAAGCTTCATCCAAGTTGATGAATAATGTACAATGTTCTTTTGCGAATAATGCAATTTTTAAATTCTTTGATAATCCATAGTATTGTGTATTGCAATTGGCATAATCAACGTGTTAAGTCTTACCTAGCTTGGACTAACGAAACAATGGAATTCTGTTGGAAGGTTTAATGCTGTAATTAAGTACTCGCTGGAATTTTGTATCTAATAATGGTGTCAAGTATCGCTGGTAATTTAACAGAACATGTGTCTTCTATTATGAGAATGGAAAATTTAGTATTGTTCAATTCATATGATAGATAATTGCATATCAAGTAATAGTAACTTAGATGATAACCTCATATTAAGTTAGAAAAATGTGTAAAGATAAATAATAAAAGCTACTAGAAAGATATTTTTATGTTTAAAAATATTTCAATTGTTCTACAAGTGTAATTATTTTTTTAAATTCAATCATAATGAATTACGCTTAACATTGCTCAACGCTGACTGTCAGTTACAGAAATAATGGGTCAGAGAGAAATCTGTAAAGGTATTGTGTCTTTACAGGTTTCAATTAAGAGATTTCGTAATGAATGCTTCGGGTGATTTAACAAAAAAATGTAGAGAAAGTACTGTTAATAAACGTACAATACGTCAGTTTGAAAAATTTGTACGGTTGACTGCAACAAGCAACCAGAACCAGTTATATGTATACTTTCAAACAATTATAAAAATTTAAGCAGACAATAAATTATAATACTAATGGATATTAAACTTAACTTAAATTATTAATAAACACTATTTTTAATTTTAGTTAAATAATAATGAATGCTATTTCTAAAGTTAGTGTAAAATATTTAAGATTAGTGTTTTCAGATTTAACTAAAAATATCAAGGTTTAAAGTTTCGTGAATGAATCCACTTTTAATTGTAATTAAAAACATTGTTCATTTCTAAATATCAAGGTTAATTTAAATTTAAAGATAGCAAACCAAATTTAATGAAGAAAATAATATATTAAATTTTATAGTTATTTAATTTTTCATGAAAATATTAATGAACAATTATTCATTATAATATTAATAAGTGTTACTTTAAAATATTTACAAATATTATTTTTAAACTTAACTTAAAATAACAATAAATACTTTTTACTATTTTTATTCAAATTATAACTATTAACAGTTTTATGTATAAATCATCCATTTTATTTGCAACCATCTACTACAAACTTTTCTAAAAGAAAAAGAAATGAAAAATCCATCGTCCTTATATACAAACTATCAAAAATTATTTGCTAAGAAAAATATGAAAAAAATAATCCTACTATATTACATTAAATTCTAATTTCTCAAAATGGAGGACACATGATCATCTCGCAGCTCAGATAATCAAATACGCCAAAAATACAGCTTCTTCTTAAAACTAAAAAGCTCCGTAGCAATATTAACATTTCGATTAATCTTCACACACACAATACACAACAAGCAAATACATTTCAAACTGACTGCACGCTATTATCCAGGATTCGCGTACGTGGGTGGAGCTTGTGTTGTAAACAAGCGTCTGGAAAAAGTGAATTCAGTCGCCATCATCGAGGATACCGGAGGATTTAGCGGAATTATCGTCGCAGCCCACGAAGTTGGCCATTTGTACGTTATCTCTTAAACAATTTTCTCGACAACTTAAAAATCGTGATGCAACGTTAATTAATCTCTCAGTATAACTTTCTTTTACAAATTCTTTTGCAACTACACCTTATCATATTCTATTTCTATAAATAACTAATAGAAACTATTATATTACTATAAAAAAAACGTACACTACCGTCCATAAGTATCCGGACACTTGGTTTCGTTACATAAAACATAGTTGAACTTTGTACGAAAGGTATTTAGGGTTATCATTTGTAATAATTATTATTATCTTTTTTGAGGTGTCATAACGTAATAGAATTAATTTTTAAGTACAAATTATACAATGAAAGTGTGAAAATAAAATTCATGTCCAGAAGTACAAAGTCCAAATTTGTGAATCTAATGAAACGCTTTCGATTCTAAAAAAAATTTTAATTTCTACTGTGTTTCATTTCTATGGTGCAAAACGTATTCAGAGGGTTCTTCGATATGTTTCAAGTGTTTGTAAACTGTTGGTAGATGCTAGGTTCCCTCAATGGAGATAAGAATGGAGGTAACGCTACGCACTCGACAGTTTCGATTTAGTTCGTCTGTAGCTTCTTTTCCATCG